CGTCCCTTAACCTAACAAGTCTTGCTTATGATCTGGAAGCTCCAGGACTGGGGAACTGCTCAGCTGCTTGTGCTCACCTGCTAGCACTTTCTGGCCACAGTCTGTTCCCGGGGAGTTCCGTGGTCTGCTCAGACATTTAATTTAGCTCCTATTTTGGTGGCCACTTTGACCACTTGCACATCTGCCCTGCTTTCTTTCTCAGGCATATGGCCGAGATTTAATGGAGGCCCAAGAATGGTGCAGGAAGTACATGAAGTCAGGGAACGTCAAGGACCTCACCCAAGCCTGGGACCTCTACTACCATGTGTTCAGACGGATCTCAAAGCAGCTACCCCAGGTAGGTTCCTCGGGTGGTCCTTTCTGTCTTATTATCTGTGAACTTCCTGATACTCATCCTAAGCATCTGGTTTCACGATTTTTTGTTTTTTGTTTTTTGTTTTGGTACCAGGATTTTGTTTTGAACTCAGGGTGAGCCACATCCCCAGCACTATTTTGTATTTTATTTGGAGACAGAGTGTCACTGAGTTGCTTAGCACCTCGCCCATTGCTGAGGCTGGCTTTGACCTTGCAATCCTCCTGTCTCAGCCTACTACAGGCGTGTGCCTCCGCGCCCAGCCTGCTTTCACTTTTACCTGTAGAAAACTAATTGCTTCTGGCAGTCTGTTGGAAAAGACCTAAATTATATCTAAATTCCTCCCTGGAGTTTAATTTTCTAACTAAATTTTTTTGGTAATTATTCACAGCTTACATCCTTAGAGCTGCAGTATGTTTCCCCAAAACTTCTGATGTGCCGAGACCTTGAATTGGCTGTGCCAGGAACATATGACCCCAACCAGCCAATCATTCGCATTCAGTCCATAGCCCCATCTTTGCAAGTTATCACATCCAAGCAGAGGCCCCGGAAGCTGACTCTTATGGGTAAGGATCACTGCACTTCTACCTCCCTGAATGAGTCCCTGCCCCCTGTTCTGCAATTATGGCCTGCCATTCTAGCTGTTAATCTTTCATGTGCTACAACTCTCCCCACCTCTTGGGACAAGAATGGAGGACAGTGGCCCTCCCCTTCCAGGACCTCTTCATGGCTCCAAGTGTACTCAGAGCTGTACCTGTTGAAGTAAAGCCAGATCTCGTGTGTGGAGCCCTGGTGGTGGTGGGCAGGTGTTGAAATGAGCCAGCAGAGGCAGCTGATGCAGTCTTGAGGTTCCATGCCACTGAAGAAAGAGCATCTGGGTTCTTGAATGTTCTCCCTTTGTGGGAAATAATTGTGTAAAGCAAACAAACTAGAATAGCAGTGAATCCTCATGGGAGGTACATTCAACACATGGCATCTAGAATTTGGCTTAGGGGTAGTGATACCTACCTGGAATGGTTGAGGGAGACTTGTGTATTGGGGTGGCTTCTTGAGGTCTCTCCCTTTTAATGACGCTCATTTCTCAAGTGTAATGGTTTTCACCAACACTGATCAATCATGGTACACAGGTAGTGGTCTCTCCAGGAGCTGGTATCTTCCAATAAAAAACATGATCACAGGGCTGGGGTTGTGGCTCAGTGGTAGAGCACTTCCCTTGCATGTTCGGTCCTCAGCACCATGTAAAAATAAATAAAAGTTTTGTATCCATCTATAACTGAAAAAAAAATATTTTAAAAATCAAACAACAACAAAAGAAAACATGGTCAGTCATGTTCTCAGCGTATTGGATTTAAAAAGTTTAGTGAAGAAACTGCTTCTGAGAGAAGTGAGCAAATAAGCTGTTCCTCGTCCTTCCCACCACCCCTCCAGACCTGAAAAGGCAAGGAGCTCAACAAGAACTATTGCCTTGGAAGAGAGGCCAGCTAGCAGAAGCTGTAGCTCAGGTGGAGGGGCATGGCTGCTTCTAGAACTGTGACCAAGGCAGGGTGTGGGGGCAAATACCCTGATCTCCACCTCTTCCTATCCTTTCCTGCCAGTGCCTCATTGGCCACACCAGCTAGAACTCCAAGGGATGTGGGCCATAGGAGTTGGGCTTTTCAGATCAGAGTGAGTCAGGGAGAAGGAAAATGTATAATCTCTGCATGACGGTTCCTGATCCTTGGTAACAGTCTTTTTTAAAATTTAAACAACTTTGGTCATTGGGAGACATCAAAAGCAGAGCTGTTTCCTCAGTTGTAGAGTGTTCTTTCCATTTGTAGGGGATTGTGATTAGGGAGAGTGTGTGTAGTCTATGGGATCTTTGGGATACTCTGCTGGTCTCAGCTACGGGTGTGAGAACCTGTGTTCTGCACTAACAGTTGCCGCCATCCCTACAGGCAGCAACGGCCATGAGTTTGTGTTCCTCCTGAAGGGCCACGAAGACCTGCGGCAGGACGAGCGGGTGATGCAGCTCTTCGGCCTGGTTAATACCCTCTTGGCCAATGACCCGACATCTCTTCGGAAAAACCTCAGGTATTCAGAGTGCTGTGGAAATGGCAAAATTTTGAGAAGTCTTCTTGCCCTCCTACGACTGTGCGTAGAACCATGCTCCTTTATCAAATAAGTTATAACCTGGCAGGAGGTTATCAGTAACCCGGCTGCCAAACACAAGAAGAAAGGGTCTCCACATGGGATATGCCTTTAACAAGCTCCAAAAAATTCAGAAGGGAGTGATTTGAGATGAGATGAAGATTATACAGACTGTTAATCAAGATTATACAGTATGTTATAATCAAGATTATACAAACTGTTAATCAAGATTATACAGTATGTTACTCCTTGTGGAGCGTAAGCTCAGCCAGAGCCTTCCTATCCTTGGCCCTGTTGCTTTTCTTTCTCCTGATCTCAGATAATAGTCACATGATGCTTCCAGAGCCACCGGTCTGTTGGGCAGGATGAGAAGGCCAGAGTGGCTTTCATGTTACGAGCACCCTATTTCTGTGATGTTGTATTCTTCACCAAGTATTGCTCACTCCCCCTCTCACAAAAACCATGTGCAGGGCTCATTAAAGACAGTCTGCAGTGGAGAGCGGTGACACACACCTGTAATCCCTGTGGTTTGGGAGGCTGATGCAGGAGGATGATAAGTTCAAAGTAAGCCTCAGCATTTAGTGAGGCCCTAAGCAACTTAGTGAGATCCTAATAAAAAATTTTGAAGACCAGGGATATATGGCTTAGTGGTTAAGCACCTGGGTACCAGGTACACCCTATACCAAATCTTTGTGTGCTCTGAGTGGATCATAAATATGCCCTTCTTGTACAAAATGACCCTGTTCTTTTGTGGCACCAGCATCCAGAGATATGCCGTCATCCCTCTGTCCACCAACTCAGGCCTCATTGGCTGGGTCCCCCACTGTGACACGCTACATGCCCTCATCCGGGACTACAGGGAGAAGAAGAAGATCCTCCTCAACATTGAGCATCGCATCATGTTGCGGGTATGAGGAGGCTTGCTGCCCAGTGTCCTCAGGGTCCTGGAGGCAGGACTCACACATCAGGGATACACACAGGGCTGCTTTTCTAGTTCTTTGTGTGTCCATCAGTGAAGTCTATTTGGGGGAATTTGCTATTGAAGGTTTAATGAGGTGAATCCTAAAGCAGAAAACATTCTCTATGAAATCAAAGTGGGATTGCGGATGAAACTCATGGTAGAGTGCTTGCCTGGCATACGGTTCCAGCAATGCAAAATATAAAGTAGAATAAAGTTGCATAAGATTTCAGCATGGGGCTGGGGATGTGGCTCAAGCGGTAGCGCGCTCGCCTGGCATGCGTGCGGCCCAGGTTCGATCCTCAGCACCACATACAAACAAAGATGTTGTGTCCGCCGAAAACTAAAAAATAAATATTAAAAAAAAAAAGATTTCAGCGTAGCTCGTGAGGCCTAACAGGTTCAGCCTGAGGTTCTTTTAAAAACAAGAAGTCAGGCATGATGACACACACCTATAATTCCGTGACTCTGGAGGCTGAGGATCACAAGTTCAAAGCCAGCCTTAGCAATTTAGTGAGGCCTTGAGCAATTAGCAAGATCCTATCTCAAAAAGAAATTAAAAACAGCTGAGGATGTGGCGCAGTGGTTAAGTGCCCCTGGGTTTAATCCCTAGTACCCTAAATAAATAAATTTTAGAAAGAAATTAAAGTCTTCTAAAGCCTGGAAATTATGTTTTCATTGTCCTGTATGGGACTGGACAGATAAATATAGGCAGCATCTATTTATCTAACATATACCAAGCTCTGGAAGGCCTGGTGAGTAGTCATATAAGAACTAGGAAGAATTGTTATGCAGACGTTAAAACCTCCTCCCCTCATCCACTGCACTAGGCTTGGACTGAGGTGAGTCCAGGTGTCCCCACCCATGCCCTGGGAGCCAGTGTGGCCACTGTGCTGCACTTCCCATCTCCTCTTGACTAGCAGCAAAGTTAGAACCAGGTCTGCCTAGCCCAGCCCTGTGCCTCCGGCTGCTCTAACTGAACATGTGTCCTGATGCAGATGGCTCCAGACTACGACCACCTGACTCTGATGCAGAAGGTGGAAGTGTTTGAGCACGCTGTCAACAACACAGCAGGGGACGACCTGGCCAAGCTGCTATGGCTGAAGAGCCCCAGCTCGGAGGTAGGGCCACTCAGCTGCCTCTGACCCACTCCTAAAAGGGCGGATTAGCTACTCTTTGCTACTATTAACTGTGGATTATGTACAGCCTTTTATAGCAAAAATCACATGCTATTTAGATTGAATAGTTTGCTGCTTTCTCCTATTGATTATGATAGTATTTAAGCTTTTTCTCTATATTTAGGATAGTTGGTCTTTTTCATATATGTTGTAAATTTCCTGTTTATTTGATTTTCTAATTTGATTAGTGTTTTGGGGATTGGGATTTTTCTTTTTCACACATTATTTTAAAAGTTAGATATATCCGAGTTTGAAGTTTCTGCCTTTGGCTTTACATTTAGAAAGGCTCTCTCCACCTCAAGCTGATGTCTCTTTTTACCTATATTTTCTTATAAGATTTGCTTTTACAATTAAATTCTAACCCAGTTTGGAATTTCTTTTTTCACATCAGATGGGTAATGTGCCAACAACATAACAAAGTTCAGAGGGAGGCATATCTCACACAATAGCAAGAACACCCAATCATCACACTTATGAGCTGGAAGGATCTAGAATGTATTTTTAAACTAAGGTGGGCTGGACTTGATGGTGCACACCTGTAATCTCAGTAACTCAGGAGGCTAAAGCAGAAGGATCACAAGTTTGAGGCCAGCCTTGACAATTTACTGTCTCAAAAAAAAAAAAAGAGGCTCGGGCTGTAGCTCAGTGGTAAAGCACCACTAGGTTCAATCCCCAATACCAAAAAAATAACAATAATAAAAATAAATCAATAAAACTACAGTGTAACTTGTTTTTTAAAAGATGATTAGCTGCCACCACACTATTTACCAAATAACCCATCCTTCCCCACTATTTGAAAAATTCCATCTTCATTATACACTAAATTCCTCCATGCCCAGGGATATCTTTCTATGGCTTCTGCTTCATTATTCCCTCTGCCTGTTCCTCCATAAGTACCATACCATTAATATAAGTCTCTTCGCATTAGCTATTTTCACATATTTTTTCTTCCAGATAAATGTTGGGATCATTTTGTCAAGGTTGAAATGCCACTGAATTTTTTTTTTTTTTTTAAACCAGGGATTGAGCCCAGGGGCCCTTGCCACTGAGCCACATCCCCAGGCCTTTTTTATATTTTATTTTGAGAAGACAGGGTCTCTCCAAATTGCTCAGGACCTCACTAAGTTGCTGAGGCTGGCTTTGAACTTGCGATTTTCCTGCCTCAGCCTCCTGAGACACTGGGATTACAGGCATGTGCCACCGTGCCTCTCAGTGCCACTGAAATTATATTGGAATTATATTAGATGTTTCAAATGATAATTGGGAAGGCTATTGCATCTCTGCAATCTTAAATGAATCCTGAAGTGGGTCTTTTCATAAAGTCTTCACTTAAGTCTTTATGTTCCTAAGAAGAAAAGTTTACTTGTTCATTGAAACCTAACATGTTTCCAATTAAGTTTATTCTGAGACATAGTTGTTTATTATACTCGTGAATGGGATCTTTATTCCATCCTATGTTCCCACTGATTATTAATGGAATAAAAGAACAGAAGGGATTGGGGTCTGGCTGTGTTGGAACGAGCTTAAAGTTTCCAGCGCTTGGGTTCACTAATGCTCCTGTTTTGTAGGTGTGGTTTGACCGAAGAACCAATTACACTCGCTCTTTAGCAGTCATGTCAATGGTTGGATATATTTTGGGCCTAGGAGATAGGTGAGTGAATTTATTTCTTTTAGTCTCCTTTTGTTTTAGTAGTTTTCTTTTTATTTGTTTTCCGGTGAGATTTATGACTTTTTGGCAAATAACTATTTGTGTTTTTACTTTAGACATCTTTGGGTTTTTTTGTTTTTGTTTCTGCTTTTGCAGTATTAGGGAATAAACCCCAGGGGCTCACACATGCTAGGCAAGTGCTCTACCACTGAGCTATATCTCCAGCCCTTTTAATTTTTTGAGAGAGGATCTCTCTAAGTTGATGAGACTGGCTAGAACTTACAATGCTTCTACCTCAGCCTTCCAAGTAGATGGAATTACAGGCATGCACCCCTGTGCCCAGCTACTTAGACCTCTTTTACAGCATCAACCTTAGCCTTCATCTGTTTATTCTAATAGGATAACACTTCAACTAGAGAGAAGCAAAACTGTAGCTCAAGAGTACTACTTTCTCCATAGGTTGGTTTAGTGTGCTAAATAAGCTACAATAAATAAGATTGATTACATTGACTTAGTAAATATTAAATAATTAATATGATGCTAAAATAGTTGATTCTGTTTCTGCAATTGAAACCAACCAAAATAGATCCTTATGATATTTTTGCATAATAAATTTCATCCAAACTTACTGACTAAAAAAATAATTCAGGGCCGGGTTGGGTGGCATACACCTGTAATCCCAGCAGCTCAGGAGGCTGAGACAGGAAGATCATGAGTTCAAAGTCAGCCTCAGCAATGGCAAGGCGCCAAGCAACTCAGCGAGACCCTGTCTCTATATAAAATATAAAAAGGGCTGGGGATGTGGCTCAGTGGTCAAGTGCCCTGAGTTCGATCCCTGGTAACAAAAAAAAAAGAGAGAGAGAGAGAGAGACTGAGGTGGGATATCACTTGAGACCAGAAGTTAGAGACTAGTCCAGGCAACATTGCAAGACCCTGTCTCAAAAGAATACAATAAATGACAACAACAACCAAAAAAAACTAGCAGAACACCTATTGACAAAAGCCAGATGATCTTCCCCGGATTGGCTCAGGGGCTCATGGAGACAGATCCTGTGATAGCTACACGATAGTAATGAAAGAGCCTTACCACTGAGGGGCTTTCACTGCCGTAAACTATTTGTCAGGTGACCCAAGACCCTGGAGAAGCAGATTCTCTTGATGACTCCTACAGGTAAATCTTCACTGTGGCTCCAGAGCGGGAACAGGCACTTTTTCTGTAAAGAGCAAATGATAGATATCTTGGGCTTTGTGGGCCATGTGGCCTCTGTCACAGTGCCAGCTCTGCCACTGTAGCATAAAACCAACTAGAAACAGTACAGAAATGAAGAAGGCCATTTTTCAATAAAACATGGCTTATAAAGTCAGTGGGAGCCAGACTTACCTCAGAGCTATTGTCTGCCAGCCCCTGGCCTGGAGTTTTACATCCTCACTAATTCATTTGTCAATGCTGCTTGTTGACCCTTCCCGTCTCTTCCTTCTGCTTCTCAGACACCCATCTAACTTGATGCTGGACCGGCTGAGTGGAAAGATCCTGCACATTGACTTTGGGGACTGCTTTGAGGTAAACGAGTTTCTGAAACCATGTCAGACAGACCTCACTCTGCTCTGACAGTTCAGGCAAACATAAGCCCAAAACATCCCTCCTCTCCCCCGTCCCTCCTGCCGACAAGATCAAGTCAGTTGCAGCCTTGAAATCCATGGCTGAGGTCAGACTCTAAGCCCTGTGGGCAGGGGCCACTCTCCACACACCCTTCGCTAAGTGAAGGAATCTGCCACCCTGCATGCTGCCTGCTGGTCAAGCACTTGGGCAATATACCCTTGTCCTTTTCTTTTTCTTTTTTTTTTTTTTTTCCTTCTCCATCTTTTGGGGTTTCTAGCCTCATTCAGATCCCCATAATCAGTCCCTTCACTAAACTCAAGCTGCTTCATTTCTGTGTTGTCATGTCAATCAGTACAGATAAGACAAAGGAAAGCTACCTGCCTTCACCTTACTTTAGTTAAAGAAAACTGTCTAAACAAGGATTTGTTTTTACCTTTGATTATCCCATAGGTTGCTATGACCAGAGAAAAATTTCCAGAGAAGATTCCATTTAGACTAACAAGAATGTTGACCAACGCTATGGAGGTGAGTGAATATTGGGAACATACTGTACTGAAATGGAACCAACACAGTTTACACCTTCTCTAAAGACAGACTTGCTCATTAGAGCTCATCAGTTCCCCAGCATGGCCACGTGACTTCTGTAGCAGGTTCCTGTTGATTCTCACGTATTAGGAGTGATCTTTGAAAGTCTCATCACTTCACATCAGACCTGGTGTCATACGTATCACAGTCCTGCCATGCTTCCTTCCTAGGTGATGGTGACAGATACTCTATCACTGTTGGTCATGAGGCACCAATGACTCCTGAGGTGCAATGCTCTGTCCCTTCTCCAGGTTACAGGTCTAGATGGCAACTACAGAATCACATGCCACACGGTGATGGAAGTGCTTCGGGAGCACAAGGACAGTGTCATGGCTGTACTGGAGGCCTTTGTCTATGATCCCTTGCTGAACTGGAGGCTGATGGACAGTAAGTATGTTCAAGTGTGGGAGGCTGGGGTTTGCATCCCTCCAAATTAGAGTACCTGCCACATTACATTCCACTGACCTGTTCCTTTGAGCCTGGAGCCTGAGCTGTATTACCAACTATTGCTTTCTCTTCTCCTAGAGCACTCAGGTAGCTAGAAAAGAATTTCAAGTATTTTTAATAGCTAAACTAGAAAACTCCAATATTAATTGAAATAATGGGCTGGGTGTGGTGGCACACACCTGTAATCCCAGCGGCTCAGGAGGCAGAGGCAGGAGGATGGTGAGTTCAAAGCCAGCCTCAGCAATTTAGCAAAGTGCTAAGCAACTCAGAGAGACCCTGTCTCTAAATAAAATACAAAATAGGGCTAGGAATGTGGCTCTGTGGTCGAGTGCTCCTGAGTTCATTTTCTGTACCAAAAAAAAAAAAAGACTTTTTTAGGATAAACTTAGGTACCTAGTGATTTGGATAAGCTGGAATTTTAATAAAAATGTGAACAGTTGTAACTTGAGACTGCAGTATCTATCGTCTAGCCTGTTTCTGCCTCCTTTGAGGATGTTTCACCAATATGAGGCTTCTAATCCACTGTGATTAAATCAGACTTTCACCTTACAGTTTCCACATGATGCTGTAAATCCAACTCTACAGTATAGAGTGTCCTCCCGGATGTCCTATTCCATGCTCACAACCCTTTTTACTACTGAGTAATATTTCTTTGTTCTCTCTTCAGAATTGTACCTTTTGGGAAAATCTCATTTTTGAAATTGTAAACAAGTATATCAACCAAGTTTCTTCAAAGTGAAAGTCTGAGGCACTTTTAATTCTTTCTTTCCCTAGCAAATACCAAAGGCAACAAGCGGTCCCGAACGCGGACAGATTCCTACTCTGCAGGTCAGTCAGTAGGTGAGTGCACCCAAGGAGCTGAGCATCTGAATGGGGAGACATTCCTTCTGCTGGAAGGCAAGATTCAAAGTGGTTCTGGCTGCTTAATATTAAGGATGTCAGCATGCTTTTCTCAAGTTCTTGACAGTGATAGCGCAGGCAGAGGTGCTACACTGCTAACATCACCCAGCAGGCATTGTTGAACTTCAGAAACATGGTCTAAAAATATTTACCAAGCACCAAGCAGTAACTTGTTTTTTATTTACTATCTAGCAGGATGGAGTAGGTACCTCAAGCTCCAAGATTTCTATCATCTGATTTTAATCTGTCTATAAAAACAGTTAAAAGTATGTCTGAATATCAGCCAGTGTTGAGCAAGCCCTTTAGCA